GGCACTGGAATGCTTTGGCGAATGGCTGAATGAAACCCTCGTGGGTGAGTTGCTCATTGAGTCCAAACACCCTATATATGAACTCGAAGTGCTGCCCTTGTTACTTGCCACACAGGCCTGGAGTCGCTTCTTATCTGGATCACCAGTTGTAATTTTTTTGGATAACGATGCAGCAAGATCAGCATACATCCAAGGTGTCGGAGCTACAGCATTTGCAAGAAGCTTCACCCAAAAATTCGTACGTATGGAAAGCGCCTTGAAAATCCTTCCCTGGTTCGAGAGAGTGCCAAGCCACAGCAACATATCAGATGGACCGTCGCGACTTGATTTCAGCAATCCTCTTTTAAAACAGTGCACTCGTATTCGACTCCATTTTCCAGCACACTTCAATCAAATGGGGCTGGCTTCGGGTGTACTGGAGAAACCAAACTGAATCATCAGTTCTCCGGCGAACAATCCTGAGACCGTTCCCCAGAGCTTCAATGAAAAAAGGTGTGCATCAACTGGATTCATTGGATGTCAGTTTGAGTTGCTTGTGTTTTTTGGTTTGCTGCATTTTCCACGTGCGACGACGTAACCCGAACATAGCGCGGCGTGATATATAAATATATCCCTTTACATATTTATTTTATATGTGTTTCGTTTACGACAAGTCATGTCAGAACTATTTCACAGAAACATCTCTGTGTGCCTCACTGGCTGTGCAACCGTTTTGTGGAAGAGGGAAATAAGCTCGAACTCTTCGAAGAAGATGAAAGCCTTATTTCACAAAACAAACAAACTTTTTGTCAAAGCCAAACTTTGGCTTCAAACAAAAAGAGGTTGCACTGCCAGGTAGCTTCTTCGTTTAAAACAGTTTCCACCGACTAGTTTTGAACTTCCATGCGTGGACCAAAGTGCCTCAACCGAAGCACGTTCGGTTGAGGCACTTTTTGCTAGGCGTAATGAAACTGAAAGATGTCACGCAATAAAGTTTCCTTCAAGTAACTTGGAAGTTCTGACTGTTCTAAATGATGAGGAAACTGAGATCCTTTTTCCTGCATTGAAATTGAAATGCCAGTGGTTTGTTTTTAGAACAACTCAACAAGACTTCAATGCTCATTCACTTTCACACTGGATATTCTTTTTGTTTTCAACAAACAAGATCCTGTTGGTTGCGCTCACTTGCATGGAACACATCACATGTCAAGTATCCATTCTCCGCAACATCCCTTTTCAAGGTGTGGGAGGGTTGGGTTTCCTCAAACAATTCATGAGGACTCGAAAATTCCCGCCCATTATATTTTTCCCACCCTTTTACATTCTCATCCTCACGTTTCACTTCTTTTTTAGCCTCGTACTGGAGAAACCAAACTGAATCATCAGTTCTCCGGCGAACAATCCTGAGACCGTTCCCCAGAGCTTCAATGAAAAAAGGTGTGCATCAACTGGATTCATTGGATGTCAGTTTGAGTTGCTTGTGTTTTTTTGGTTTGCTGCATTTTCCACGTGCGACGACGTAACCCGAACATAGCGCGGCGTGATATATAAATATATCCCTTTACATATTTATTTCATGTGTTTCGTTTACGACAAGTCATGTCAGAACCATTTCACAGAAACATCTCTGTGTGCCTCACTGGCTGTGCAACCGTTTTGTGGAAGAGGGAAATAATTGATGTATTTGAAGAAGAGGATAACAATGCGAGAAGATGGAATCCTCATACAACCACATGCAACATACGTTCCAACGTGGGTGGCAATGATGAAAGTCAGTGGAAGGAGAAAGAAGGGATTGCCATATCATGCTACGCTGGAAACCTTCAACGCTGAGTTTGTGGTGGAGCCTGAGATGTTAGATGGAGAACAGGCTGGACTGTTCAGGTCTGGTTTGGGTCTGACTTTGTACATGGCAATGGACAGGCTAGACATTCAGTTTGCAGTGAAAGGTTTATCATCCTTCATGTCCCGTCCTAGCGTGAAGGCACTTTCGGCATTGAAACATTTGGCTTCATATCTTGAAGGAACTCCAGATGATGGCATTCTCCTACGTTCAACGGAAGAAGGCAAAATGGTCAGTGACTTTTGGAAAGAGAATGACTTCATCCAAGACGAAGTTACAATTCCAGATTGGACGGCGGATGGAAGATTCATTTTGGAGGCAGTCAGCGATTCCTCATGGACTGATTGCAAAACAATTCGAATGTCTACCAGTTCAGGAGTGATCTTTCTCACTGGATCATTACTCACAAGCATTTGCCAAACCCAAGCTTCAGTAGCACTTTCCAGTTGCGAGGCTGAGTTGTATGCTGCCAATGGTTTGATGGTGGAGAGTCTTTTCTTGCATCGCTTGTGCAAGTTTCTTGTTGGAGATGAAAGCGAAGGAAACAGTGACAAGGTACAACAGAGATTGTACATGGACTCAGCATCAGCATTGGCACCTATCCGACGGACTGGAACTGGACGTTTGAAACACATTCAGATCAAGCAATTCTTTCTTCAAAATTTGCTGCGTACTGGTGTGTTTTCCATTTTCAAAGTTCACACAAAATTGAACCCTGGTGACCTCAACACCACACGACTTGGAGGTGAACGGAGACGATTTCTTGGAAGATTGATGAGACTTTTCAATCCAAATGATGCGGAAAGACATGATGACAACACAGTGAGAAGAATCCGCAAGATCAATCGTGCAACAAGAGAACAATGTGTCCGTTTGATCCAAATGGCCAATGTCACCATGGATATGTGTATGCAGTTGAAGGGTTGCAATAGTGAGACATTTTCTCATCATGGTCCTGTGACAGGTGGAAGCGCAGATGATGGCAAGCTGCAGATGGTACGGTGGATGCTGGTGGAATGGTTATCTACTCCAGTGCAATGTGCCTTTGGAGGGTTGATGATGGCCTACAAGGTACTCTCCGTGATGGCACAGTTCATTGGATTTGCGATGATGTTTGCTGCAGTTGGTTTTGCTTGCGCTGGACCAATGGTGTGGAGTCACTATGGATGGCTTCAACAATTTGCCTTACGACATGCGGCATGGCTGGTGGAACTGAGGTTTCGAGCATTGGTGAAACCGAGTCTTTGGGTTGCATGGTGGATCTTGAAGAAGGAGATAGCGTATTTGCATGAGCGCTATCGTGAGTCTGAGCAGCGTGGTGACTTCATGGTGGACGTGGAGAACGTATATGGTTGCTTGGATGAGTACTTGACTGATGGAAACTTCCCAGTTGGAGCAGGTGTCTTGACTCACCAGATCCGAGACAGGATGATGGACCTCCAGAAGCTCCAGAAGGAGAACCTTTCCAAGGAGTTGACTTAGCTGAAACTGCTTTGAACCATGTCTACCAGCTCAACGGTCGTAACGTTGACCAAACAGTTGGTGAGACAGAAGCAAATGAGAGAGCCAATACAACCCGTGGAGTTCATGGGGCTCATGTAGAAGGAGAAGAAAAGGAGATGGAAGAAGATGATAAGATGGAAGTGGATGAAACTCCTGCTGAAAGGAGGGCACGATATATGTCCTCCAGCCAGGAGGCAGAAACTCATTATATATGGAGGACTGGCATGGGATGACTATGAAAGAATGGCAGCCTTTTCCCGAGCCAACAGACTTCGCTTGGAGAACGCGCTCGAGACTTTGAGGATGAAGTGCAGCATAACGGAAGTGGATGGCAATTGGGAAGAAGCTAGAAACTATGGACATGCAGTGGCAGAGATTGAGAGCCTCATGAACATTGCATAGCAGCTGTGGTGATGCTGGGCAAAGTGGTGCCCAATCATAGCATGAGACATGCAGGTGCACTACATATTCCAGTTGATCAAAATGCAGACAGTGAGCGTGGCATAGAAGATTCCAACAGAGTTAGAACCATTCATTCAGCACAGTGGCCTTGTAAGGGCCAACCTATAATAGTGGCACAGCACCAGAAATTGCTGCAGTGCCAAGGTGGGGTGTGAAACTTGAGTTACTCCACTTATGCACATGTACAAACATGCGGGTTCCAGGTAGTTGAAACGAAAGGGACAAGATTAGCATGGTTAGTTGTCTGCATGATGACACGCACAAATTCAGATTACTCGTTGCCTACAGTGGCTCAGATACTCAGAGACAGCAGGTGGAAAGTGAGGGTTTGAGCGACCTGCCAATTTGTTAGGGAAACGCTTTTGGACCAGAAAAAATATCAGTTGTAATGTAGCGCACTGTACTGTACTGTCACGTGCTGTACTGTATTGTTTTGTGCTGTAATGTAATGTAACGCAACGTAATGTAATGCAACGCAATGTAATGCAGTGTACTGTAACGCACTGGAATGGAATTGAATGGAATGGAACGGAATGGAATGTTTTGTTTTGCTATGTGCCGTTATGTTCTGTGATGTTTTGTTGTGGTTTGTATGTCCGCAAATATGTATACATGCAATGTGTAAAAATGTACCTATGTGAATATGCCATATGTAAATACAAGTGTCTGTCTCGCACTTTCCCTATGTACATCAAAGGTGTGTATATCTATATAATAACATACATACACATATTTGTTTTTAAATGCGCATGTATAATTTCTACATGTTTACACATGCTTGCATTTGCTTTTGCGCACTTGCTTTGGTGGTTCCAATTCTTGCACAAACCGGAAAATAGTGTACCAATTCAATTCTTGCAACTCGCTATCATGCAATCATGCACTGACAGTCCTCCGTAGAACACGTGATAGATAAATGCCCTGCACGGATGCCATTTCCGAACTTCTTGCATGGTGCGTGAGTGAGTATTTCCAAGTGTCTATTGGCTCAAATTCAAGAACCCTTGTGTTTCCCGTTTTGTTTGCTTGTTCCAAATTGATTCCCAGAAGAACAACGGATGCCCAAATTGCAACCAGTCACGAATACATGTGATATCGGCATTTCGATTCGCACATTCCCTCCCAAAAACACATGTTAAACACGTTGCAGACCAATCAACAAAAATCAATCTAAAATATTGTTCGTGAAATTTGTTTTCCATCGATCTTCCACTGCAACAAAAAATCCAGCGCTCGAGCGTCATGCGTCATGATGCGCACAAAGTTCGATTTTGGGTTGGCTATGCTTGTATGCATGCATTCTTGTTTTTCCTGCCCCATTGCTGGGAAGGAAACGTTGAACTGGACTTTGTCAGCATGAGAACTTGGAGACGCCGTGTGGCACCTTTGAATGCATTTTTCCAAGGCGATGGATTCCGCCCTGATGAAACCATTCCTTTTTCACAAAGCAGCACGAACGATGAAACAACTGATGGAAAGCGGAACAAACGCAAAGGTGGTGTTGATGAAATTGATGAAGATTCAGATGTTTTTAATACAGGTGTGTTCAATCCGTATGAAATTCTGGACCTTTCGCCCATGGATGAAATCGGAGAAGACGAATTGCGGACAGCTTTCAGAAAACAGGCCAAAATTTACCATCCAGATGTACCCAAAACGGGCGATGCAGAGAAATTCCAACTGATAAAGAAAGCAGTTGAAGAGCTTGCATCTTTGGGTATGTTGGGTGAATGGCGAGGTAGGGTTCCTTCCCCTAGGTCTCAGCGCAAAGAGCGGGGCCAAACCGTTTCAGAAGATTACTGGGAACTACGAGGGCGGGATTTCTTTGCAGAATTAGAAACTGAATTGACAGATGAACTTAAGATGAGATTCAATGAGTCTGACAAAGACTTGACCATGGAGCAAATCCGTGGTCGGCGCATCAAGGAAGATGAGTATTGGGCAGAATTGCAGATTCGACAAGCTGATAAGAAAGTCTTGGAAAGGGTTGAGGATTGGATCCAGCAAAAACGCGAACAAAGAAGGTTGTTACTTCGAGAGAGATTGCGGGGGTCTGGGGCACCAGAAACGGAGAGATCCAGGAAGGCAAGCTTGGAGACTCTCCAGATGGTTGAAAAAAGGATTGCACAATGGCTTGGCCTTCCATCGACAATGCTTTCCCTTGACATGACATTGGATGAATTGGGTTTTTTTGACGCGGCCAGTTGGGATGATGTAGCAGTTTGTCTTATGCTCCTAGAAGAAGAATTTGAAAAAAACATTGTGAACATTGTAGAGAAAAAAGGGCAACCAACTACAGTCCAGTTGCCTAGTTGGGTTGAAACAGTTGAAGACTTTGCAGATTTCGTTGAAAATAAACTTTGAAGACAGAACCCGTCTGTACAGTATGTCTCACCAGTATCAAAATTTGAATGGTATGTCAAAAGGCGGAAAAGGTGTCTTTCCAGCAAGGTTCCTGCAAGACTCATGATCATTTTCAATTCTGAATGACTGGATAGCTACATAGCAACTCAACGGGTGATTGCTTCTTGCATCACTGCTGCGGTTGGACATTGCTGCAACTTCAAGCTGGAACTGCAGACAGAAAATAAACATTTTCAGATACATAATTTTAACGAGTATGACCTCTACGCCTTAGGCCACCCTTGCATATTTTTCCCCTGAATTTTATGTGTTTTTTTTTTTTTTCCCGCATCGCATGAACTCGAGAAACAGTCTCCAATAGACACTTGTGATTGCATGCACAAAGTGTCCATGAGCCTCAGATGAGACTCACTGCAACAAACAAGAAACCTTTAAAAATCCTTCAAATTTCAAACACCTTAAATGATAAAATACCCATGCATATATATATATATACATGTATATATATATATAACATAAGCATTATATAACATACAGGAACCACACAGGAATGAGGTCACCTGCTTGGTGCCAGCCATGAGTGGAGGCCGGAATCATCACAGCGGATTCAACATGGATTCAGATGTCAAATCTGTCAATAGCAGCAGATCATAGATAGATCGTAGATAGCTTCAGATAGTATTGTATTTATAGATAGAATCTTTGACTCGCGGATATTTTGCGCGTATTTGAGAGTGCTTGGAATGTTCAGCAAGGCCCATGCGAGTCTTCCAGAGCGCAATCAGCTGAGTCGGCAATTTGTGAACGAACATCAGTTGAGGTCATGTATCAGTTGTTGTTTTCCTCTCTGTCCTGAAACTTGACAATTTAAATTGTTTATTCCCAAAGGGCAAGTGATCAAATTGCAGTCGAACTATGGTGATTCGTCATCTTTGCTCACATTTGCCATTTCAAAAAGGACTTGCAAATTTGAAAGTCAGGTCTGGTCTTCCGCCTGGCCCTCATGGTCCACCAGGTGGCTATCCAATGCAGGGAATGCCCGCAATGCCTCCCGGATATCCTGGCATGGGCTATCCAGGCGCTTAGCGGATGAAATTTGATCATTATCGCAGTCTTCGCCGCATTGCAATTCGATCTTTGATACTTTGAGATCTGCATTTCTTTGTCCGTTCACTGGACTGTGCCAGCACTAGGTAAATTTGGCAATTTACCGAGTGCATTTGATGCAGGCATGCCTCCAATGGTGCCCCATGGCTACCCCATGGGATATCCAGGCAGAGAGCCTAAGCGCTACGTGTGTGGCAGCATATGTTCACATTGCCAGGACATCCGGGACATCCGGGTCATCCGGCACATCCTGGACATCCTGGACATCCTGGACATCCTGGACATCCGGGACATCCGGGACATCCATACCTTCCACATGGGAAGGTGCGGATTGCAAGGTTCATTTTGAAACGAGATCATTCGCAGTCTTTCATATCTTTCATCGTTTTAAACATCCTCAGACTCAAGTGACTCAAGTCCTGAGGAAAAAAAAGAAAAGAAAAGCAAAGATAAGTCTGACTCTGAAGTGCTCAGTGCGGTGAGACAGAGGCCGCACATACACAAAGCTGTCTATCAATGACAAGCATGAACGTTTTGGTTTGTCTTTCTTCCAAACCTTTAGAAAGCTATCTAGATTCCTAATATATAAATTCAAAAAAAAACATTGTTTCCACAGTGTGATACTTGTTTCAGTGCCAAGGAAAAAGCGCAGAAGAGACAGGAGCAGCTCTTCAAGCCCATTCCCAAGACCAATGCAATGCTTGCTGAATGCTTGTCTTCCGTCTAAAAAGGTCTAACAAGGCTGTTTCAAGATGTTTTAAGCCCCTTTCCAAGTTTGCTCTTTGCACATTTGGGCTTGTCCAGGCAATGGAGAGTTTCCTTGAAAGATCAGATGAGAACACAATGTGGTCATCACAAAAGCTAGCGGTAGGTAGCTGGAGTTTCTTATTGCTTTGGGAATGGATGGGGCGGACCAAATGCCAAACGCGTGATCTTTCATGCAACCCTCTCCCTGCCCTCCCTATGCCCCTTATAGCTCAATAAACTTAAACATGATGCGCAACTCACGCCGCACGCATTCCATCCGACCCACTTCACTCAACTCATTCTACCTAACCGTTAACCCACGCAACCTAACTCCATCCTCCACCAAGTGACTCCACCTGATTCATTCCACCTCGCTCACTCCACCTGGCCCCTCTTCCTCTATGTTTCCTTTCGCATCTCTCCTCGTATTACTAGCCAGCACTGCTTTCCATATCCTCTCACCTCCCACCTTCCACTGCTTAGCCTTCCTTCACCAACCCTTGGGACTGAAGTCGACATCGTCATGATTTCGAATCATGACTATCATGATGATCATGATGAGGATGACGATGGGGTTGCCCAGAGAATAAGACAGAGAGGAAAGAAGCGGGCCTACTAGGCCCAATCAAAAGCCGACTGGGGTCAAATTGGGACTAACTTGCGCCAAACTCGGGCCAGTTGGCCCCAACTTGAGCCCAACTGACTTCCAACATGGCACAATTTGGGCACGCATGCGCAACTTGGTGCTGTGTGGGGGGCATCTGGCCCTGAAGTTGGGCCCAAGACAAGCCCAATGCGGGCAACATGGCCTCACACGAACCCCCATCAAAGAGCGTGTCGCGCTGAGGCTGCAAAATTGGCTCGGGTTGGTCCCAACTTGGCCACGGGCTGCCCCAAAGGCGCGCCAATTGGTCATGTTGGGCTGAAGTTGGGCCCAAAGCGATCCAGATGGATTCCAAATTGAAGCCATCCGATGCACATGCAAACCCAAGTCAGCGCTAACATGCCGCAACTTGGCACCTTTTGTCGACAGCTTCGCACCAAGTTGGGCCCAACGGAGACACAACATGGGGAACATATGGGAACATTGTTCCAAACGAAGCGTCATCGATAGCAAAAAACGAGCGTTTTGAGGATTTCGGACTATGTCCCCCATTTAACTGGGGCCGAAGTTGCTCCGAAATGGGCCGAACTTGGGGCCAAGTTGCGCCGTTTTGGAGCCGAGTTGGGCCGAAGTTGTAGCCAACTCATCCAAGTTGGGCCGAAGTTGGGCGGCACCGTCGGTGCAGGCGGATTTCATGTATGATGTTGTTTCTGAATTTGATCAGTGTGACAGCCGCACCGCTGTGCTCGTGATTTTTGCCCAGGACAAATATTATGTATCGATGATTTAGTGATAGCTGCTGCAGTGGTTGGTTTCCTGGTAGCTTTGTTGCGGTCCGCTGCGGTTATGGATGGTGTTGCGGTGTCCCACTCGTGTCATGATGAAGGCGGCGTCACACTCCTCATGTTGTCATATTATGTAACATGTTGTCATCATGTTGTCATCATGAAAGATGATTTGACCCTATAATGTCTTAGTATGTCTTAGTTTGGTTGGTTTCCCTGCTTTGTGGAGCTCTCGTACCCTTGGGTTAAAGGGGTAGAATCCATGGTTTGTATCGGCCGCGTGATGTCGTTGGGCTGTCCAGCAATTATCCCTGAGTCTTCAGGTCTGAAGTGTTTCTTCAAATATCCTTATTTTTTTCTGTTTCTCTCTGTTCCTCATATTTCGGTTGTGACCTGCTTTTATTCTGATCCAAAATGTGATCATTTTGTTGTTTTTTGAAAGAAATCTAGTGGCAGTATCCCAGTGCTATCGTGATTAAGAACATGTTTGGTTTGATCGAGATGCTAGCAAAGAATTACATTCTTCGGTACCTTCCACATCTTTCCACCACTATCTGGTACCGTGCAGGTCACGGAGCGTGTGTCAAAATGCGTTCCACGTCCTGTCATTGCTTTTCATGGGAGATGGGGGGTGGGAGGGGGTAATAACGTTCGTTGCCTTACTTCTGGGAAGAAACTGCACATGAACAACTCGAGTTGTTTTTCCCTCTTCTATCTGCCCATCATTTTGCAATGCAGCGCCAGCCATCCTTTGAGGATCTTTCTCACGGCCTTCGCACCTTTATCCTTTGAGTTGTGGCGGCAAAGCCGCTGGTATGATCAAACTCGGACCGTCAACTAAGTGGAAGAAACAGCGACATGAACCGAACCAGACCACATTTATACCAAATCATTGAAAGGCAACTGATGGAATTACACCCTAAACAACATTGATGGTTTGAACAATCAATTGCCATTACTTCTCACATGATATGCTTCCAGATACATGCCAAAACTGCTACAAACAAACATGACACATTCGGAAAATGACAGAAACACCACAGTCCCTCACCTGCACGGCACGTGCACTATTTGTGCCAGGTTCTTTCTTGTTATTGGGCCTGGTCACCAACATGTTTCCTCACACTCTTCCGTCAGACATGCAGTTTTATTGGTGTTTGTGGACCTCACAGGTCCAGTGGATTTGAAAATGCATTGTCGTTTGGCGCAGAGTATGTCAAAATGTTGTCAAGTGTGTCAGGGTGGTAGTGAAGAGATGTGAAGAGGTAACCGAAACACAAGCAGGACTTCTAGGGATCATGAGAAGTTAGGTGACGTGAGAGTTGCAATCCAAATCCCGGTTGAATGCATATGTCGAGCAGGGGTACACGCTGTGTACTCAGGTGACAGAAGCAGTAGTAGTGGAAGAAAAAAGAAAAGAAAGAAGGACGAGCTGCAGAATGAGTTCTTTTTGAAACAATCATTTGTTCTGAGGCTCTGCAAAACATGACTGGATAGATTTGAAAGGTACAATGCGAGAATATGATTATGATAATACAATAGTACTGCATATAATATCAAAGGAAACTTAAAAGAGACACTTCCGAGATATCCCAATTTTGAAGTATTGTAGTTTAAGAAACAGAGAACAAAGAGTAGAGAAGTGAATTGTAGAGAAGTGAAGAGAGCGGGAAGAAGCTAGAGAAGTTAAGAGACTAAAGAAGAACAGAGAATAGAGAAGTGAAGAGACTAGAGAAGTGAAGAGAGTAGAGAATTGAACAGAGTGGAGAAGTGAAGAGACTAGAGACGTGAAGAGATCAGGGAAGCGAAGAGACTTGGGAAGTGAAGAGAGGACAAAAGAGACTAGAGAAGAAAGTAGTATGTAAGTCAATGTGTATATGCATGTATATATATATATATATATATGTACACACACAGATGTAATATTTGTGACAAGTATTCTTATCCTGAGAAGTGCCTGATGATGTGCCATGAGCCCAGAGACCCGTGTCTTCTTTGTTCAGCCCAGATGCTTGTGGGCGAGATTCGTTGATATAGATATGATTCTGGATGCGGTTTTGCCCACGTTCACGCTGTTGACAAACGGTTTCTCATGCCCGACAGGTCCCAAGTGAACAAAACTTGGAAATGTTCCGGAGCATCCTGACAGTTCCAGATGTTCAGACAATCTTGGAAGAGATTCCCAATCTTCCAAGTAAAGGTGAGAAACAAAGATTACGCAAGTTGTGTGAGTGTCTTGCCAAATCTTGCAAGAAACAGTGTCGCTTCTGTCAAGCCTTTTCATTGGTACCTCACTGGGCTCATTTGACTTTGTCAGGAGAAGGACAAAGACAAGAAAGCTCGCAAAAGGACGGACGATGAATATCGCCTTGGACAACAAACAGCAACCAAGCATGCAAGCATACGCATCTTGTTTGAAACATGTATACATGATTTAAGCGCTTACGCGCGACAGCCGGCCAGGGGCCCAACTATGTTGGCATCCACATTTTTTCAAAACAGCAAGTTTCATTAGTGCTTCGCTGCCGGACCATTAGTGACAAAGCAGATTCGGAGGAGCCCATCTGCACAGGATGATTCCGAAACGGCAGTCCAGTCCTGAGCAGCACCAATCTGTTGCTTTGAGTTTTCCTAGGGATACTGTATTAGGAAGCAGAAGGCTAGGAGCTTTCAAGGTCCGGGATTTAATCTTAGTCCGATCTTGTTTGGGCGCTTTTCTTTATCGTGGTATTCAGAGCCTTTTTGTCAGAGAGCGGGGGAATGTGGGAGTGCGTTTTTTGTTACTAATTCTTCACGAACATCATCATGCGTAATGGCTAGCGGCTCTGCCAAAAATTTCATCCAAATGAAGGTGCCACCAACCCAAAAAAACAGTAGAAACTACAAATAGTCAGTGGGAGGGAGACAGTATTGAGAGATTGCTACACCCTAGTAAGCTAAACGATGGTGACACAGTTGCAAACAAACCTTTTAATCACCGATGCAAATAATAAGGCATCCATCTAAGAGATATACGTAGTGTCCCCTTGGCAAAAGCGAGGTCTTCATCTCATAAAATATCTTTCATTCATAAGCTGTAGTTTTCCTTCAAGACGATGCCTTACTTCTTTCAAGAAGCAATATCCTGCAAACAATAGAGCCGTCTTCTAAACATGCAGCGTTCCTTTCTGAAAAAGAAGTCTTACTTTCATGGTAATATTAAGCCTTCTTTCAATCACACAGTATTGCGTAAAGGACACTAAATTCTTATACAATATGCAGTGTGTGATTAACATTCAGTATTGCTGTGAAAAGGTGCATTGGCCTATGCACATTGCAGCATTCGTTGAAAACAAAAAATATTACTGTTCAAGGAAAATGATGCTCACAGGTTACCATCTGGCTTAAAGACAAGATATTCCCTCAAATAAGAAACACTATATACCAGTAGTACCGCACAAGGCGGTGGCGGAAGTTTCAAAAATAGAAAAACCTATAGGAGGCGTTGGTTGTTGTGAATCACGGATGGCAGAGCGAAGCCACTGATGGACTGACAGGTGGTTGAGGTCTTCTCTTTTTCTCTCTTTCTTTCACTCTTTCTCTGACTATCTACCTACTTACCTACCGATCTATCTTTTTATCTATCTATCTGTCTACATACCTACCTACCTACCTACCTATCTATCTATCTATCTATCTCTTGGTCTGTCTGTCTGTCTATCTACCTGTCTATCTGCAAGCTTGGAAACCTAGCTATTCTACGAGACTTATTTTATTTTTCAAAGTTGACAACATCAAAAACGCAGCAGTTCTGCGTGACTTCCTGATTTTTCAAAGTTGACGACATCAAACACGAAGACGAAGCAATTCTGCGAGACTCCCTCTATTTTTGAACTTGACAACATCAAAAACGAAGCAATTCTGCGAGACTTCCTCATGTTTCAAAGTTGACAACATCAAAAACGCAGCAATTCTGCGAGACTTCCTCGTTTTTTGAAGTTGACAACATCACAAGCGAAGCAATTCTGCGAGACTTCTTCATTTTTTGAACTGGACAACATCAAAAACAAAGCAATTCTGCGAGACTTCCTTCAAAAATGGAAAGTTGAGTGCAGAGCTGACAGCCTCATACCAATGCGTTTTGCGATTTTTCCAGTCCACCTGTCGAAAGTACTGTGCCTGCCACGAAAAAGTGATGCCAGGTCATACGAAGTGCTGCACCTGTCACGCAAAATCATTTCAGCAAACCTGAAGATCTGATGCTCCAAAATGCAACCCCTCTCAGGAAATCAGCGCCCTCACCTCCTAACAGCTCCGATGAAGATGTCTCTTGTACTGCGCCTGCCACGGAAAATGCATCTTTGCAGATCCTCTTCAAATGTCCCACGCCTGCCATCGTTTTGGGAACTGCGACAAAACCTTCATGTTTTGCTCACTTTTGACAAGGTGCACAATCCCTTGCGCCTGCCACGCGAAGCGACATCTGAACGTCCAAAAGTGCTCCGTACCCCTCAATTTTTTGCACTTTTGACTTGGAAATATGCTTCGCGCCACAACGGCGTGCATTTTTTCGACATCGCAACTTCCAAAACTGGTCCGAACGTGGTGTGTTTTGTACATTTTGACTTGGAAATGTGCTTCGCGCCACAACGGCGTGCGATTTTTGATCTCTCATCTGGCCAGCTGGCTCCGCACCCGCTGCTTTAGCGAGCCTACTTTTCGACTGTCCGGAGCCCCAAATCACTGGAAAAACACAGTGTTTCGCGACTTTCCTACCTTTTCACGCATCTGCATCTTCTTTCTTCTTACTCTTTCTCTTCTACTCTTCTTTCTTCTAATCTTTCTCTTCTCTCTGCCTCTTCCCTGCTCTGCTTTTCATCTGTCCATATTGTCGGAAGTTTGACTTCTAAACTTCCTTCGATTAATGCAAGAACACCATAATATGTGAAAAGGTGCAACACAGCCTTTAATGAAGTAAGCATCATTCTCATTTTTTCTGCATGGCGTTGGTTTTTAAAGGAACGACTTCACTTCTTCAACATATTTGTCTTGAAAACACGATACTCCCTGGAATAAAAAAACAATATTCTTGCAGACATATAGTATGTGAACAGATGCAATATATCCTCTAATGACGTTAAGCGTCACTTTTTTTCTGCATGGCATTTGTTTTTAAAGCAAAAAAAATCACTTCTTCAAAATCATGGTGCTTGTTTTGTTCAGTTGTTTCACTCATATGGAAGGGCATATTGCATATGAAATCATGACCTGTCTCTTTCAAGCAAATATTGAGTACATACGCTCAAGGGTTCTACTTCATAGTGATGCTTGATTGTATTATTGCATGCTTTTCAATCAAATGGTTCGCATTATTGTGAAGGAAACTTTGCACATACTTGCACCAACACTTTTTTTTGAGGAATACCATAATCATTTATTAAATAGGTACTCAAAGGATTCCATTCTGAAATAATGTTGTCCTTCTTCCATAGGCTCCTTTTCCTCTTTCAAAGAACTTTGCACAGCTGCCTCTTTGAAAATAACTTTAGATTCCCTTCGAATAAATGCTGCACTCCTTTCTGTAAGGGGACTGTACAAAAGGATGCTGCTTGATGCAAGGAATGATGTGGCTTTATGCAAGGAATGTCATATTCCTAGAACAACATTACTACACAAGGCATGTCTTGGAGTATTTTGTTTTGAAAACAAATTTCAAAGGCCATGCTCAAACTTGTTTGCTGATTGTAAAAAACAGTGTCGTATATCCTCCCATGGTTTCAAGTATATAACTTTCTGTGAGGGTGCCCAAGCCATGAGAAAAATCAGTAAAAAATAGATGATGTCCATGATGTGGCTGAGTCGACATGGACATCACTTTTTTGGGAATATTGGTCAAAACGTCGATAGAACCAACAAAAACCAACCCTATGTCCCAACCACTCATAGACGCCCATTGGCTTGTTTTCTTCGTTGTTTACATTGGTTTTTGGCAATGTTGGGCAGAAATTGTAAAAACATTGAGAAAAACAGCAAGTCAAAGGGGGTCCATGAGTAGCTGGGACATAGTTTTTGTTTTTCTGACTTGTTCTTAATTAATATAAGTTCAGGTTTCACAAGCTAATTCATGTGGAAGGTGATTAGAACAGTTTTGAGGTTTGAGGTTTTAAAAAACTAAATCATATGCAGAAAAGTTACGCTCCCAAAGTCCCCTGTTCTGTTTTGGCACTCCCTCACACTTGGAAGTCGGTTCCAGGCTGCTGAGGTTCCCGCAGGTCATGCAATGATTTCTGTAAGTGTTATATATAAAGATTACAGTGTTCTACAGTCTTATTGTATAGATGATATTACTATATATTGATGTGTATATGATTATATTCTCTCTCTCTCTCTCAGACACACATATAATTTGATAATTTTGATAATCATATTATATGCATAATTTAATAATGATATATATATACACATATCTACACATATAATTTGAGCATTATACAGATACATAACTTGATAATCACATATATACATATATGTACCCATGCATGTACATACACATTAGAAGTTTGGCAGGGGTTACCCAGTTTCTCGTTCGAGATTGATGATCGACGCATTCACAAACTGTGGCACAACTCATGAGGGAAAATGACACAGGGAGATTCTTCCAATGCGGTCAAGAATGGAAGGGGTGGAGCCATGTTGAACCTCTGACCAATCAAATAATCAAAGTGACTTAGTGTTCTTAAACCATGTGCAGCAAATCAGCCAATCAAGTATGCGAGTATGTGCATCCTACTAACACTCTTAGCTAGTTTCCGTCAATACACTTCGTTGAACCCACGGCTTATTCTCTATATTGCAAGCAGCTCGCGTCAGGGCGGCTTTCATGTGTGTCCATGTAGCGGACCATAAGCACTACACCAAGCACAGACTTCCTTGAACCTCTCGAAATTGATGATTTGCGTGTATATACACATATACTTATGTATGTACTGTATGTACTCTATGTCTATGTACTGTACGTGTGTATGTGTTTATGTTTGTGTGTTTTCACGCCTTGCAGGGGGTGAAATATGTGAAGGTAAAAAGTTTCAATGTGGACCCTTTGCTTGGCCCTTCTTGCTGCAGACACCTTCGTTTAAATACCTTGTTTCACTTTTGGCCAGGGAAATGGGAATCCCTCCACTTGAGATCCTGCGGCGTTCCAAGGTCGTCAAGAACACACTTTCCTCGCTTTCTTTGAAAAGCTGAATTAGAAGCTTTCAAAATCCTTCAAGCATGCAACATATTTGGTACAAATGTGGATTCCTCCTTTCACAGCCTTTTTTTCCTTTTTGTTCTTCAACATATAGTGGCTGGATTTTGAAGTACGGTCTTCATGGTCGTCTTTCATTCTTTTTCCCCAACAGCGTAAGCTAATGGGGTCTTGAGCCCAGAATAGCTCCGGTGTGCACTGGTGCAGGCCCCGGGTCAGGTTCAACAGGGTTCCGGAGAAGGTTCCGGAGAAGGTTTCGGAGAAGGTTCCGGAGAAGGTTCCGGAGAAGGTTCCGGAGTCTGCATGGCACACTGTGGCACATAATGTTTTCCCACGGCTCAAATCCAATCAATCGCATTGGCATACTCCTATTCACTATAGGAAGTTGCCATTGCCAGCGATATGTCAATCGGTATTAATTGTTATTTAATTGCTATGTGGTGGTAGTATGTTGGTTCTCTTCCTGAATAAGAGTGCAGAATGCACGTCCGGAAAGTGATAGTGACACGCCAGCTTTCTCTGGCCAGTGCAGCTCCCTTCCTTCGGTCCCAGGGCATGATTGATTGAGGTATGTCGCACGGTAGACTTTGCATCTCGCACTTTCTCGTTCGTCTCGAATGTTCGAATGTTACTGTGTCCTGCTTTGTGTTAGCAGGTCTTTTACCCTTTGCATGTTTTATGAAACTAGTTTAACTAGCTATGCGGGGCGAAGGGATCGAAAGAGTCCAAAGTGTGAGGAAGCCGAGGAAACCTAAATTGAGACGACTGCCGGAGGTTCCGTGAGGTTCTGTGAGGTTCCCGGCTCAGGCTTTCTGCTGCTTGCGAGGTTTCAGATGTCTTTAGTAGTCTGTAGCGAGGAGCGTAGCGAGCTGCATTCTGTTTGTTCTGTTTGTTCTATGTGTGGGTGTGCTCTTTGTGTTGCTCGGCTAGATGCTTTGGGTCTTGCTGGTCTTGGTTCACAGTTTGATTGTCTTGCATTGTTTTGCTATATCATGAAAGCAAGCGGTAGCTAGCTGGAGTTGGCTTTTGCTTTAGCAAAGTAACTTTGGGGGTCTGGGGGCAGGTCAGCCAGTGTTCGTGTCAAGTTTCACTTAACCCCCCACCTCTGGGCTAGATTTCGCATGACCTCTACATATGACTTTTAGTTATGTCGTATCATCTCGTCTCTTATCATCTCAACCGATCTTTTTTCCTATCTATCTTCCATCGCATCTTGCGTCGTCTCATTTCATCTCATCTTATCATATCTCTTTCCATCGTGTCTCGTCACGTCTCCTCTCATTTCATCTTGTCTTATCTTATCTCAAGGCATCTCATCCCATCATTTCCCATCATATCATATCTCATCAAGCCTCAGGTCTCATCAGGTCTCATCAGATCTCACCATGTCTCATCAAGTCTCATCAGGTCTCATCGTGTCTCATCAGGTCTCACTATGTCTCATCATGTCTCACCAGGTTTCATTATGCCTCATCCCATTATGTTTCATCATGTCTCATCATATCTCATCTCAATGTCTCTCATGTCATCGTATCTCATTATATCTATTCTCAACGTATCTCATCATATCTTATGCCGTCCCGTTTTATCACATCCCTTCAATCGCATCCCGTCCCATCGCATCCTATCATACTTTTTCTCCTCTCATCATTTGCCATCATTTTCCACAGTCATCCCCGTTTTTTTTAACCCAGTGAAAAACCACTACCCTATTGAATAGCTGTCGTCCACCTCCCGCCTGGGCCCTCAAGTTTTGCCTCTTTCTTGCCGTCTAGGCGCGCGCACAAGCTGCTCTACGAGCAGCGGCAGCAGCTGCAGCTGTTGCGGGGTCACGAAGGCAGGTTGCTTGCTGTCAAGCACTGTCAAAGCGTATCGATGTGCCGATGTGTTCTGTGTGTATCTGTTTCTTTTCTCTCAATACATTTGGAGTACTGCAATCAGCTTTGTGCACCAGGAGTGCTTCTCCTTTGGCTGGAGATGCTGCAGGCAATTGCAGTGGATATTTTTGTTTGTCACCGCTGCGATGTGCTCCACAAAGTCTTCCCAGGCGCACCCAAAGGAAGTGAAGCTCCGCAGGCACTGATCACCTGATTATTGATGGCACGTGCACAACTTTGTCGCAGTTCCAACTCAATTCGTCTTGAACATTTTGAATATTTTCGGATAGAATGTGAGGTGGCTGAGATGGAAGACCAGGACAAAGAAAGCCTTCATGCTACACACAGATTCAACACTTGTTCGCACACACGATTTGCAAAGTTTGGATGAATTTCATGGCGAGACATTTTCCAGACATTTTCAACACAATATACACAATTACCCTTGAAGAGTAGCAATTGTACTAGCAGCTTGAAGAAGAGTGGGTACCTTGCCCCCAGCTCCCAATGCAAAAGATTGAATCGTTCAGACTGATTTTCTTGATTGGATTTATGAAGTATTGTCAGTATTGTGTCTCCTAAATCCTTCATTTTCAGGACTTGGCAAACAGGGCCCGTGGTTTCATGAGGCCAGACTGACTGTTTGTGCGAAACCTTTGCTGCAAAGCCCAATGCTGCAACCCAGATTTGTATGCTTGCTAATTCGGATGGAACGCCAAAGACCGAGGCTATGCGTGCATGTTTCAAGTCGCTTTGGTAAGAATGAAATTTCTCCGTGCTAGCAGTGTGTTAGCAGATGGCTGCAAAAAAGCCTTCCTGACAACCTGTTGAGAACAATAGAAGCTGGATGGATTCGGAGTGCAGACCTTTGAATTTATCAACGGAATACTGCTTTGAAATGATCTGCCAACTATTTTGCATCTAATTTCGAGCAAACTATTTCAAGCTGAAGACCGCCACGGAATAGAGCTTTGCAGCTTGGATACCGTATTCTACCAAACATTAGTTGGTCAATGTTGGCCACTTACCAACAATCCATGCAATCCATGCGACCGAACAGTGTATCGCAGAAGTGTTCAGAAACGGTTTTGTTGCCAAGAAGCCACAGGCCCTTGCCACTTTAGGAGGTGATGATTTGAAATCACGTCTCGCATCCTTTGCACAACAACCGGCATAAATGGAACTATGAAAAGAAAAACACTTCAAGAGGTATATAATGTTACAGATTGTTACAGGGTATTTGGTGGATTTGAAGGCAATGTGTAGAGGAAAGCAGGTACCGCCTGCACAAGGATGTGGCAAGAGACTATCCTTACCATTCCTTAGCCTTCCTGCACCTGGAACGCAGGACATGTAGTTCAGTTTAACCGCTGAGAGGCGCCCCAAGCACGGATTCAGCCCAGTCACTCATCAAAGCTGGTGCCTGGTGGGCCAAAAGGGCCAAGAGCTTGCAGTTTCAATGCGACTATTCTTTTGCTTTTTCCTTTACCTCTAGTTCTGCGCACGGGGTTTGCATTCATACTTTTGCATGCTTCAAGTTGGACTGTGCTAGCAGGCATGACGCTTCATGAATGACAGACTAAAACAATCTGCCAGCCCCCAAAGCGCTCATCACTGGGCAAGCAATTGCGTGGGCAGTAGGTGGTGCAGAAGCGCATGTGATCGAGGTGTGTGTGTTTAAAAGCAACCATTTCTGAGCATCCTTACTTCCGTCCCCGCTGATCCCCAGATTTCATGAGTGGACGACTTCGTATCTCTGCCACATTGTGACTGGAAACACGGCCAGAAAAGGCATCAGCGGACTGAAGACAACCTAGTACTAGTGTATAAATAGATAGACAGACAGAATAGATGGAAACTGGTAAAGTGACTGCTTGCAATCTCCGGAAGCAGTCTGTGACTGGTGGCAACTTTTGCCCTGTGCAGGCCGGAAAAGATAGACATCCTGCAGCTTCCCAAGTCTGTCATTGGAAGGGTCATTGGAAAGGTGCGCTGCAAAGTTTGTCTTTGTTGCTGTGCCATGCAATGTCAGGTTGTGCGTTGAAGAGCAGTTGGTTTATGTTGCTTTTGCTAGGCTGGAGCCACCATCAAGGACATCCGTGAGCGTACAGGCACCACGGCTCTATGGGTCCACCGTGTCCACGGTGTCCATGGTGTCCATTTTCCTTTGTGATTGCTCGTTGTTGAGGCGCTCGGATAGATGCTCGAGACCAGACGGAAGATCCTGTCCAGGAACGGTTTTGTTTTGATGCAAGAAATATGAAATATGGCAAGAGATCGCAAGAGGATGGCAAGAGCAATGAACCATTTGACGCCTGCTACTCTTGCAAACGATCTGTCTGTTGAAACGTGAAAATGTGAAGCGGTTTGGCGGTACCATATCTTTAGGTACTGTTGAGCGGAACCCTTGAAGCCTGCGAGCATGCCAAGGCAGCTTCAGCTGAGGAAATTGGAAGCTTTTGAGCTATGAAGAATGCTTTGAAGTTCCATTTTTGCTCCTTTTTGCTTTTGGCAGCTTTCTTCTGTCCTTGCAACTCTTCAATTACATGGGCTTGATTGATGATAAAGTCAAAGAGAAAATTTCCAGTGTTTCGCAAGTTTCGCAGGAGGGATGGGCAAAAAAAGTTGCGAGGGTTGAAGAAGCTCAGGATAGGTAATGGAAACAGCAAGGCAAGCAAAACAGCAAGGTTGTCATTCTTGTCAGTGCTCTGGGCATGTTGGCTTTGGGCATCTGTGCAGGCACTTATCTTGGAAGTTGCCGATGGTGCGATGCTCTCAGGCGCTTAGCTTGGCCTGCCATGCACATGTTTCTGGTGGGTGTGGTGTGCACATTGGTCTATGTGTGTGTGTGAAACATCTGAATAGATGTAAAACTTCTACCTGATGATGTCGTTTTTTGCTGTTAGTTAGGTTTTCGTTATTTCGCATCGTGATGCTTTGTCAATTTCAAATGCAGTTTCCAAATCCAAATCCATTTTAGAGCAGGGGGCCACGGCTCCATTCATCAGTCCGTGGCCAACGAAGCTACTGATGTTTGGAGAGGATATGCAGTCTGATCAACTGCACGTACCTGCTAGCAGTCTCATTTACACTTCAATTTTGGAAATGTGACGTGGCCAACCCAAGAACCACCTTGCCGACAAAATGGAAGACCATGATTTGGTTCAGATGAAACTGTTACATCTAGCAAGGACGTAGAAGGATTAACTTCGCAAGGGTTTTCGCTTCTGACCACCAAATCTCTCCTGTCAGGTTTAACTGAAGTGTTTTGGCATGTACGACGCATTCCACATCAGAATTCGCAAAGATGTTTCTGAGCAAGTGTGTGTGTGTGTGTGCAGTAATGTCATTGGTGCATAGAAAATAACGTAATGCAATGCAATGGTAATTGTAAGGGAAATTGTAGTGCAACATCATGATGTGTAGGGACATGGGTGGAACAAGGTTCTGAGCGGTGCGTCCAGTCGAAGCTGATCTGGATCAAATTTGAAAGCCCGTGGCGGGGACGCGATGTCCCGTTGGTGCCATGTCCCAACTGGCACATTGGGTGCTCGGCTTGGCAGTGGATGGACAGAGGGCGAGGGACCTCGTTCACCCACATGCTGCTGACAGCCCAGTTGTGTTGCATTGCTTGGTGGTTTTCACAGCTGCCTTTTCGGCATGGCTCCGATGGGACACCGCGCCTACCTTGGGCATGTGTCCCACTCTGGATCTCCTTTCTAGAGTGTTGGACACGACAAGCGTCATGACGATGGGCGCTATGATCCTACCGGACTTGGCCTTCTTGGATAGGCCTTTGGAAATTACCCCAGCCAGGTTAGCCATGGAGATGGAAACCGTGAAGGCCGAGTTCCGGAACCTCAATGGGCCTCTGATGAGCTGGAGACGAGAGGCTCCGGGACACTTAGGAGCAGGCCTCGATCGATTGACGTTGGCCGTCATCCAGGCTTGCCAAGAGTTGGCGTACTACGAGACAATTCCGATCTTGACCGTGGTGAGTGAGAACTTGGAGAGGTGGAACGGTATCTTCACCGACCTTCACCTGAGGGTCCCTCCGCAAACCCCAGCTTTGCGGGTCTATGTCACACCGACAGCTGGGTCAGACGGAGCACCGGTTACCACCATGAGCCGGGCACGAGTTGCTGAGGAGACAGCTCGTTTGCAGGCCGTGGCGTTGCAAGACACCAGAGATGCTCACCGAGGATTGAGGTGACGTGGACTTAGCAGCCAAGACGAACGTGGCCTACGATTGGGCTTCACGGATAGCACAGGGTGTTAAAGGCAAGTCGGACACTCACCGAATGAAGTTTCTTCCAGAGAGTGCCGGTATGTGAATAGAGTGACGTCGATCACTTCGATCGACCGTGAAAAAGTTGACTCGTCGCTTCGAGTCTTCACCTCTGTCGATGTGTTTTCAAACGTTGGATTTCAGCGTCTTGCTTCGATTTCGTGGGGGCTCATCGCCCAGTGAATCGACCAGTTTATGCCTACTCCTTTCAAACCGTGAATTTTCCATGTCTCACTTCGATTTCTTGAGAGCTCATCGCTCACTGAATCGAAACGTTTCCATCAAATTTGATCTGACAGCGTTCGACTTGTTGTTTCGAGACTGCACCATGTGCATTCACCATTTCATTTCCACGTCTACCGTTGTTGCATATGCACCAGATGATCCCACCGTAGGATGTGGATCACGATATGGTGCGATATTAGACACTCCACAGTTGGTTGGAGTGACCGACAGGGATGGGGACTCTCACAGTAGGTTGGGGTCGTCCGGATATTACGAGCATGATATTCCCTTCACAGTTGGTTGAAGGATCTTGGTATCATGACCAAATCTCTCACAGTCGGTTGAGAGCACGGTGGGATTCCACTGAGTCAGAAGCAGGGTCATGACACATGAGCTGCATGTTCATCGGATCGGAGGTCAGATGTCGGCTCAAGATTCAGGTGGATTAGCTAGGGTGTGGCAAGTTTTGCGTGAGACTGGACAACAGGAATCAGGTGCCTCGAGGATATTCAGTCTAAATCCGCTAGCTTAGCTGCTGACGGGATAGATCGGGATAGCTCCTTGGCAGTTGGCTACTGACCGCGACAGGTCGGAAAGACGACATCCCCACTCAGGCGAGATGGGATGCGCCGGCAGTGAGACCGGCCAAACGAGCTTCCTTACAGGCTGCAGTTGATGCCGCGTTACCCAACAACCGGCGTCGGTGCTTGGAGGCTTTGGAGAGAGACATCACACCGCACAACCCTCGTTTGACTCAAAGGTCGAAACCTACGTCTCGGTGTGTCAAGCATGACATCCCCGTGGCCAGTCTCCTTGGAGTCTTTGCAGTGTTTTGCTGCATCCCTCAAAGAGGGAGCATACAAGTCGTCACAGGGGTTCTTCCAGTCGGTCTTCACCTACCGGTGAGGCGACACTTGCAACTGGAGGTTAGCCAGGTCTTGAAAGGGGCGGCCAAAACTACGCCCGTAGTGTCTCCCGAGGATTGGGACCATCCACTCTGAAGGATTCATTTGACGTTGAGAATCTGGCGGAGATCCGGGTGGAACATGAGATTGAACCCTTCTCCATGGAGTCTTCCTCCCATGGTAGAGACCTTCTGGTGGTAGCATGCTGGTATATGATGCGTGAATTGGAAGTAGCCAGCTGTCGATGGTCACACATTTACATCGAAGGATGTACCGTCAATCTTCTGTTGCCGGTGCAGAAGAACGACACCTCAGGCTCGTTGACCATCTGATCCACCCATTATGCCCGGTTCACTCGGCCCGGAGACACTTGAATAGGATCCGAGCTCACCCAACTTTCCGTGAGCAGTCTGACTTCCCGTTGGTGCCCAGTAGCGATGGCAGGGTCCCCACCAAACGCTACATGGTCCAGTTCTTCCGCCGCACGATCTCGGCCACGGGTATCCCTACCACGAGACAATGGGGAAGGCGCTGAGACCGAGAGGTTTTCTGGACACATAGCTCGAGTCTCTGGAGCACAATGGCTTTCGAGACTTGGAATGGGTATACCCACCAGATCCAGTTGTTCGGTCGATGGAGTTCGGCCGCAGTGGAAAGGTACTTGAAGATGGCACCACTTCTACAAGTGGAACATTCGGCTGCAGGCTCTTTTGCATCCCGAGTCGCGTCAACGACATGCGGTACGGCAGACAGACATTGTCTCCAACTCGCCTGCTGTACCAGCTCAGGATGTAGAGGAACATCCGACCTTTGAGTCGGCACTGCCGATGCCGAGTGCCAATGACAAGAGCAAGGAGGCCGTCACATCGGCCGAGGTCGCGGCCATACAAAACCAACTCTCCTCCTTGAAGCAGATTATCCTCGAACCGAGTCAAGTTTTGGTACACCGTTCGAAGTCGCACATCGTCCATGAGGATCGGTGTCGCAATCGGCAAACATTCCGGTCCATTGGCGGACACGTTGTGGATGGTCATATGGTTTGACCAATTTTTACAGATTACAGAGCATGCAATCAGGCTTCAGGGGTTATAGGAAATGTTTCAGGGATTCAGACTGCACAATCGCGTCTGAGTCCGATGGTAGCAACGGTTCTTCCGGTGACGAGGGATCGACCTCATCTTCCGAGTGAGATGAAAAAGGCCTAATGTCCCTATGGTCGGACGCCACGTTTCGAGGTCCGCCAGGTTTCAGATTTGGCAAGTCATTCGTTCGTTTCAGAAAATTTGGACACATTCATTGGGGACCCGTCACGGCAGCGCTTTCTTAAATTTCCAATAAGCATCGAACCTCACCCCAGTATAGGCGGGTGTAGGGCATATTCGATTCACCTGGGAGCAGGGGGGCCCCTCAGGCATGTTTTCAGATTATTTCTTTGCTTGTTTGACTACCCCGACAGTCGGGCTGTCGAAACCAGTCATGTCAGAATTTACCACACAAGAGCTGTGGGTTCGAACTAGCCCTCGTCTGCGACTAGTTGGGGGCGAGTGCCATGACGAGATCGTCCGGTGCTCAAGCGGTCTCACTGACAGATTTCACCAGCCAAGCAGGGGCGGGCTCTGTGATCGTCGAATACCTCGAGGCAAGGGGCATCAAGACGTCACCAACCTTGGCCTTGATAGCGGCCGACAGAGACACCTTCGTAGCACAAGTGGTGGGGCCCCTCCTCGATGGATACAAGAAAGGGGCCCGAGAGTTTTCCCTCGAAGATGAGGAGAAGCCCATTGCAGCAGCAGTCCTAGAGCACATGTGGAGTGAGGCAGCAATGCAATGGCAACAGCGCCAGGCGAGCGTCCTGATGGCGACGGCACCGTTGGCGATGCCCGCAGGGAGCCCTGCGCCGGCAGTGGGGGGAGCAGCCTCCAGCTCGAGCTCAGAGAAGGTGCCAAAACAATTCTTTTCTTAGGTCTGGCAGAAACAGACCTCCAGGTACAATGACATCACGGTCGACGGACGCCCTAGGAAATTCCCAGAGAAGGAGGTGCTAGGCGCAGAACAGGTCTTGGGAAGGATGTGGCATGAGCACACCGTGTCCAAGACATACGCCCCGGTGCAGTTGGGGGAGATCTTGGCAAAACGGTCGTTCACCGCGGCTGGGGAAGTCAGTCCCCTGCAGAAACAGACGAAGGCAGTGCAGATGCTACGGGTGCAAGACGACCAGATCATCCAAGAGGAGGACGAGAAATCGTGGACACCCAGGTCAATGTTGGCCGTAATGGACGGGGTGAACTCGATCCGATGGGCTTGGATCCTCCTGCAGATCGAGGAGGAAGACCATGTCCATGTTCACGCAATTTGCGGACTGGTTCATACAGAAGCTCCGAGCGCGACCAACCAAGCTCGAGAACCTCCGCATGTTCTGGGAGTCGGCCGGATGGAAGATGGCCATGGGGATGCGATCGGGCCAATCCTTCGGAGACATCTCAACCGAAGTCATGGCAGACGTGTGCTTGCTGAATGAGGCCATGAGCAAGGAGTTCCCCATAGACACCAAGGCCACGACCCCAAAGAAGCGCCCGGTGACAGAGGAGATTGGGCCCCCGTCCTCCAGACAGAAGGGGAACTATTGGGGCCCTGGGAACCACTACAAGGGATCCAAGGGCAATCAGAACGGACGTCAACCCAATTACAACCAGTATGGCAACTCACAGAAATAGAAGGCTGGCAACTGGCAGCAATCGGGATCACAGCATGGAAGCGGCGGCCAAGATCAAGGCCAGGGCCGCTATACCAGACATTCAACATTGTAGGTGCTTCTTGCAAGACGATTACCAGGCCGTGGCTGAGCTGATCCAGAAGCAAGACCCTGGACATCAGTGCCTGATCGTGGTCACAGCGGGCACCCCATGCCCCGACTATTCCGCCGTGATGGACAAATCAGAGGGCCGCAAACGCCCAGAAGGTTCGAAGTTTGGGGAGTTCATCGACCGCCTCATGAACCTGAGGGAGCTACCCGGCCACAAGCTCCTCACGACTGCAGAGAACGTTGTCATGAACCACCCATCTGACTGCCAATACATCTCGGATAGACTGGCATCGGATCCCATTGTGTTGGACTCCGCAGATTGCTGTATGGTCTCGAGACCACGACTATGGTGGTCCAACATCAAGTGGCAGGACATCAAGGAGCACCCGTTGACAGGCCAGAAGGTACAGTGGAGCCAATTCAATGGCCACCGACAAATCAAACTGGTGCTGCCACAACAGGATGTTGCCAATTTCAAAATGGGAGGCCTGCGCTTCCACGAGGACGTCTTGCAGGGCCGCAAACATGCTTTACGACGCCGAGTCCAGATTCACAGGGCCGGGCCTCCCCAGCCAAGAACAGGCTCAGGACGTCCGAAGCTGCACGTCAACGATGGTTGGCAGACAACCGGCAATTTGCCCCGCGGCATGACAACGACCATGCCATGGCTTGGATGGGAGAGGAAGCAGTGGTGATCCGACCTGACGTGAAGGAACAGCTCCACAACTTTCCGACAGGTTTCACAAAGGTCGAGGGCGTGTCACATGGTCGAGACACAGGATGATGGCCAACTCCTGGCACTTATCGTCAGCGTTGTTGATGCCGGCATTCATGTTGCAGTGGGCATACGGACAAGGAACACAGGTACCCGTACCAGTCCACGAGTCTGCGATCCAGAAGGTGATCCAACTGTAACATGGCCAGGCCAGGCCCGTGTTTCAGCCAGAGCTGAGAGATTCCCATGTGTCCGTGTCTGGACATGTGGGACCATTGGAATGCAGCAGGTGAGCTCATCCACCCAGCAAGGGTGATACCGCCCCTCGAACCAGGGCTACAGGCCACCTTCGAAGTTTAGCAACAGCTCAACGAGATACGAGTCGCAGTGGTCGACGAGCTTCGGCACATGATCGCCGAATGGGAAGAGATCACAGAACAGTGGTACGAAGCCTTGCCGATCGAAATCCAGGCAGTCTACACCAACAATGGTGACAAGAGAGTCACACAGGTACCAGTTCTTGTCGAACTACTCAAATTGGCAGGTCATCAAGGCCACTCAGAATTGGAGAAGGACTCACACAAGGATTTGACATGGTTAAGTCTGACACCGGGAACAGGATGGTTGCCTCGCCTCGATGGGCGTTATGCGGCACCAATCTCCATGGAGGAGTTCTACAGGCAGAATTGCCTCTACGTCCAAGAGAAGTTGAAGACGGCTCGGCCTAGCCCTCACTGGAGAGTCATGCTCGACGAGCTCCTGGCCGAACAGCAGAAAGGACAGGTAGAAGGTCCACTCCAAGCGCCAGAGGCCTGGGGCATGACCCTGCCTGAATGCGACGGCATTTCCCTACAGAGGGCACCTACTGAACGGGCCTGGGCGGCCATGTGCTTTGAAGTGGTCCAAAGTGACAAGGTGAGGAGATGCGAGGACTACCGGCGAAGCTACCACAACTCAACGGTGAGGGTCGGCGATTGCCCGCACTACAACGGTGGAGTGCTAGACAGCCGTGACGCGTCACCTCCAGTCCTTGGGCCAAGGACTACACGAAATTTGGGGGCAGGACTTGACAGGAGCATACAGGCAACTGCCTGTGAGGCCAGGTGACACCACGTACACACTGCTGGTGGTCCCAGGCGGCCCATCTTTGTGGCGCCACCGAGCCGCACCCTTCGGAGGGTGGCATCAGTGTGGGCCTTCTGTCGCTTTGGAGACGGCTTGGCATCTTTAGCTCGAAGATAGCTGGTGGTACGGGCCATTTCGTTGACGACTGGGCGGGCGTGGAGTTAGTTGCAACTTCACAGAGCTCGTGTTGGGCTTTCAAGTCATTCTTCCAGCAGTTGGGCCTGGATATGAAACCTGAAAAAGAGCAGCTCCCAGCCAAGGCACAGAAAGTGCTTGGAGTGATCGTCAGGGCTACGGAGGACATGCTGCTCGTGGAGATCTGCCCCAAGCGGAGGGACAAGTTGTTGGTAGCCTTGTTGGACGACTTGTTGACAACAAACACGTTGACCCCAGATGAGGCCCAACACATCTCGGGGAAGCTGGGCTTTATGGCGACCACGCTGTTCGGAGGAATGGGGGCAGCCGCCATTCAACCGTTCAATGCTAGGGCTCACTCCCTGTGCGAACAGAAGAACAACAAGCTCACCTTTGCCCTACGGGCATCCATCCACACGTTGAGGCAGCTGTTGATGGATAGCCGGCCACGATCAATTCCATGGGTATCACAAAGCCCAACCGTCCAAGCAGTGATCTACTCTGATGCCTTCTTCCAACTCGGAGAAAGACAACTGAAGCCGGAACAGGCCCCGGAGCTTTGGAACCCTATAGGAAGAGGACACCCCAAGTCAATGGATGGGGCTTCGTGGTTAGGACAGGCAATAGCGTGACGTACGCCGTACGCCCATGGTGAGGTACCAATGGAGTTCGTGAAGAAATTCGTGTCCAGGAAGGCTTTCATCTACATGATGGAAATCCTGGCCGCAGTCGTGGCAGTGGTGTTCATGCAGGACGAATTGCCACCATACTTCATCACGTTCGTGGACAACCAGGCAGGCAAATCTGCATTGCAGAAAGGGTACGGAAACGACCCACCTGTGAATGCTATCATTACGCATTCTGGGCCATGGTTTCGAAGAGAGGACGGCTTCCCGTCTTCAAGTACGTGCCGTCAACACTGAACATCAGCGACCCCGTAAGTCGCCACGATACGTCCATGGCAGAGAAGGCTGGATGGACAGAAAAGAAGGTAGACTGCATGGCCTTGCTGTCAGCCTTGGAGTCGTTTGCACAGGACCCCAATGGCTCAATACCTGACTTGCTAGCTGGTTTGGGGGCTCTACAAAGGACACCGAGCGGAATGGGGATTGTGCACGGTGTGGTTGGAGATGTGCACAACCAGCCATAGCCTTTGGAGCCAGAGAACCAACCAGCTGAAAGCAGACAAAAGGTCCCATGCACAGAGAACTGAGTGGGATGCGCGTGTCGTGCAACATCATGATGTGTAGGGACATGGGTGGAACGAAGTTCTGAGCGGTGCGTCCAGTCGAAGCTGATCTGGATCAAATTTGAAACCCTGAGACAACCCACCCAATTTTTGTATATACGATTTGTTTGCTTGATAGCTTAGGATTGGATGGCTGGGCTTGGTTAGAGATGTGCACAACCAGCCACAGCCTTTGGAGCCAGAGAACCAACCAGCTGAAAGCAGACAAACGGTCCCATGCACCAGAGAACTGGGTGGGATGCACATGTCGTGGAACTTGTACATTACATTATTCCATTCTTCCATTATTCCATTACTATATGATTACATGATATATTACATTAACATACTTGCATACTTACACACTTGCATGCATACATACATACATACACACATACATACATACATACATACATACATACATACATACATACATACATGCATTCATACATCCATACATTCATACATTCATCCACTCATAAAATCATACATTCATACATACATACATACATACATTCATACATACATACATACATACATACATACCGACAGACATACCGACAGACATACAGATAGACATACAGACATACAGACATACAGACATACAGACATACTCACACATACACAGACACACACACATACACACAGACATGCATACAGACATACAGACACACATACGCACAGACACACATACATGCATACAGACGAACAGGGAGACAGGCAGACAGGCAGACACACACACACACAAACACACATATACACTTTGGCTTACACTGGACACTGGAAATCACCATTTGTCCTTTTCGTTCAGAATGTAGATTTAGCATGTCGATTTCGGTAGGACGGTGTATAACGTTTTTAGTCTGACATACTGTATGATTGTCGGGCATTTGATCCTAGACCGCAGTTTGAATGACTTCACTGCATTGAACGTGTTTCCTTGGATGACCAATAGCTTTTGATGGGCAGAACTGATCAGCAACAAGTGACATCCTTACTGGATAAGATGGTAGGAGGTGGGGGACCTTATGGTTTGAAGATGTGATGTATGTACGACGTGAGATGTCACGTAGCTGTCGTCCACAGGACGATGATTCTTGTATACGGTACATCGTTTATGGAAATTCTATCCACATCTGCAAAAGACCCGTCGCATCACAGGAGATGCCCGAGAAGTTGGACGAGAAGGCGCTATCTCACAGTGCGTTAACCGCGATTGCTCATGCGGGCCTCGGGCATGTGGAAGATGTGGGAATACTGCAGTACACATCAGTACGCTGCTTGGACATTTCCAAGGAGTTGCTCACAGATGGTATGTGA